GCCAGTCCCCGCCACCTCAGCCCCAGCCCAGTCGGGCGCTCCCATGACCACACACACAGGAGGCATTGAGCACGCAGGGTGGCTGTCATGAAACAGTACATAGAGCCCCGGCAGTATTGCCATGCCATCACCAGCACTTCCACCACTTCTATGTTGCCAGCCCAACCTCGCCCACTGGCCCTGCAGCCCACAAGCGCTTCCCTTTCATCAAGATAGCCCCCACCCCCATCCCATGAAAAAGCCATGGACACCAGCAGCTCTGCCACTTTCTTGTTTTCCTCTCATTCTAGCCTCTCTTTGTGGTCTCCCATCCTATTTCCTAGGGGGCTCCCTGCCACCAGTATCCTTCCTGCCCTATCCCTTTCCTCATCCCTTCCTGGATGCAGAGGGAGGGAGATTGGAATGAGAAGGAGAGAGAATCTGAGGGAAATCCTGCCAAGCCAACAGCCCTGGTGCCCTCTCGCCACCCCCTTGCTTGCCCCCTTCTCCTGGCCTATCCTGGTTGCCTCCCATCCTATTGCTGAGGATGCTTTGCTTACAAAACTAGGTTTCTTGCCTGGAGAGGGAGTGGGTCTGATCCACTTTGCACCCCCACCCCCCATGAGCAATCTAGCCAAAGAGACCGAGCACAGGAGCAGGAGGTAAGCATGCTCAGGCACCCCCTTGAGGAAGCAGAGCTAAGCTGGGCTGGGCTGCAGGATCCTGGTGCCCTGGGAGCTTGAGGGCCAGGCTGAGAGCTTGCCCTCCACTGCCCAAAGCTCCAGGCAGCCCATGCCACCATCCAGGGTCCTCCAGGGGTCCTCTGAAAGGCCTGAGAGGGATGGTAAGCCTTCTCTGGTGGACAAGGCTTTGGCACTCACCCTGGTCTCACCTTCTCCATTGGAAATCTCCAGATTCCCCCCCTCCCAGCCTTGCCTGGTCCTTCACAGAAGATGGAAGATGACACTGCTGTGTGTGGAAGCGTGGAAGAAAAGGTTTGCAGGAAGCAGTTTCTTCCAACACGAAGCCCAACTTCTGCTTTGGCAGATCTTTGAAGAGGGGATGTCAGGAGAGCTTTGTGAGGGAAGGTTGCCCCAACAAGCCAGCATGCTTACCGTGCACAATTGGAAATAGGTATTCCCTTTCAAGAAAGGCCATCCTCCCCCATGGAGGACTAAGGAGTGCTGCTCCCCTGCCTCCTCCTCTTGTTCTCCAGATATCTGTCAAGGCAGAAGTTGGACTTGGAGGAAACTGTTTCCTGCAAACTTTTTCCTCCATGCTTCCACATGCAGCAGCATTGTCCTCTGACTCCTGCTTTACTGGGAGGGGCACAGACAGGGAAATGCCAATAATGTCTGGGATTGGGAGAACATCTCCTTTAGTGTGCTGGGCACATACACGCATGCACGCACACACACACATACATACACACCATTCCAAAGTTTGGAGACTTTTATCCACATATGAACTTGCAAATTGCCAATCATGCCTCAGCTTGGGGGAGAAGGCCCTCTCCGTCCTTTGTGGATAAAAGTCCCCAAACATGGAATGTGGGGTGCATGCATGCATGTGTGCGCTTGGCTGCCAGCAGTTTGGGGAGGCAGGAAGCTTGTGGGGCACCAAATTGTCCTCATATCAAGTTAGCCAGTGCAACTTGTTACTTCCTGACCCAGCCATCCTAAGTTAGCCATTCCCAGTGAGTGACATCAAGCTGGCCATGCCCACCCAGCCATGCCCACCTAGTTGCGGTGACCTGGCTGCGACCACCCAACCATGCCTACCCAGCCATGCCCATGTGGCCTCTGTGAGTTATCATAGCCTTACATCCAACTGGTCTTTTGAGGGCAACTATAATGATGATGCGGGCCTCAATGAAATTGAGTTTGACATCCCTGGCCTAGAGGAAAAAGCAAAGGGTCTAGAAAAATGTGTAGCCAGTCTGAGACAAACAACAAAACGAGAAAGCCCAACAGAAGAAAGAAGATTGCAACTAAACTGAACACAGTAAAGAACAATTAACTAACAGAGAAAATGTATCTGTAGAAATAGAGAGATGGTGACATGTCACTCATAGAAAGAAAAAATATATCCAACCCAATCCAGTCCAAACTAGTTCTGCTAGAACCAAACAATCAATTTCATAACCTCCCCTTGGAAAAAAAAAATTGCAGACACCTGGAGAAGGGACATCATCAAATGTATTAACAGGGGGGAAAATAAACCAGATTTCCTCAAGAAAAAAAATGATATGTGTAATAGGAGACTCACAACTCATGGAAACTGAACCAGCAATTTGTAGACCTAACAATTTGTCTAGATAGGTTTGCTATCTTGCAGGAGCAAGGATTAAAAATGTAACTCAGTGGCTTATTAAAATAATTAAACCCACAGATTATTATCCCTTTCTTCTTTTTCATGTAGAGATGAATGACACTACAATGAACACGAAAATAATACCAAGAGACAATAATCAGCTAGATGAAAGCAAAAGAATTAGGAAAACTGGTGGTGTTTTGTTTTATACTCCCAACAAAAGCATCCAATGAGAGAACACAGAACTTTTGAAATAAACTAATGACTTAAGAGGTGGTGCTGTTGAGGGAATTTTGGATTCCTAGACCACAGTCTACAATACCTGCATAGGGGAGGGGGGCTTCTGGCAAAGAATGGGCTACACTTCACAAGATCGGGGGAAACTGTTTCTGGAAATCAGCTGGCTCACCTCATCCAAAGGCCTTTAAAATAAAAAAAGGGAGGGGGTGAAGACAATTTTTTAGGAGCTAATTTTAAGCATCCTAAATCTCAACAAAATTGACCAAGTGGTAAGAAAGAAGAGGAAATATAGAAATGGGGGGAAAAATGGAAAAAAACAATGGATGAAAATGTTTTTGAATGCATTGGGTTAATATAAAAGGGGAGGAAATGATAAGAATTTACCAGAGATCACCCAACCAAACCAAATAGCTGAACTTTTTGCAAATCAGTTACCTAAGGAATGAAAAAAGCATACTACACTAGTAATGGGGGACACTAAGTACCCTGACATAATTTGGGAGACAAATTGTGCACTGTGGGAAATCAAACATATTCCTGATGTAACTAACACACAGCTTTATTACTCAAAAACTATAGGAGGGAACTAGTGGGCTGGCTATACTATAGACCGAATCCTGACTAATGAAGATGAAATGATAGAAAAGGTTGAAATTGCAGGGACTTTGAGGGAGAGTGACCATGTCATACTGGAATTCAACATAATGGAGACACAAGCAATAGAACCAAGTCAAACTAGCATCTTAGATCACAAGACAGATGATTTCAATAAACAGTTAAGGTTGGGAAGGACTCCATGGATGGAAATCTTAAAAAGAAAAATAACTCAAGAAGCGTTGGAAACTAAAAATTGAAATTATAAATGTGCAGTCTAGCTCAATATCTCTGAGAAAAAGAGATAAAGAGATCCCAGATGAAACTAGCATGGTGGCATATAGACCTTATGGTCTTTCCATTCTATCTTCGGTAGGTTGATTCAGTTAATGATTGTTGGAAACAAGAGATCCTGTCTTTCACCACTTCAGTATGCAATTCCCCAGAGATAACCTTTTCTTCCTTTTTATTTGACACAGATCTGCTGAGAGATCATCCATTGGTTTTGGGTGAAATACCATCAATATTACCTTGGGTAAAATGAGTAATGCACTAGAATGCAATTCCCATACACCAGAATGTATTCTTTATTGTGCAGAATATGGGGGGAGGGGAATCAGCTGGTATCCTCTCAGACTATCATTTAACTACTCATGTATTGCTTCTAGCTGTATTTTGAATATAGAGATGTTTTGCAAATTAACTAAATTTGGTGTTTGAGAAGCTTAACCTAAGTTTATACCTGGTCCAATATACTACTATATTTAATTCTTGTGAGGACCTCCTTCCCTCAGTAGGATGGTAGATATACATACAGATATAGGTATAATTTTTATCTAAAATATCTCATCTAGTCTACTTATGGAACAGAAGGCTGAAAGACAATGTTTGCCAAGTTACAGCTGAGTTGTCAGATGTGACTGTTTCTGGATCTGGTTCTAGTGCGTGTTAATCATGCATTCATAACCTCTCATCTGGATTGTTGGGACTGCCTCTGAATATGACTTGGAAACTACAATTTATTTATTTAAACAATTGTTAACACCACCTATATTTTACAAAAGGGTAACAGAGTTTGGACTATGCTGATCTCAGATAAATTCTATCTTAGAGGGCAAGTGCTGCCAACATAATGTTGGCTCCCCCAACATTATGCTGTTTAATGGAAGAAACCCAGACCATGCCTTCCCTGCTCTACCTGGTGGGGTAGAGCAGAAACAAAAGTAGACAGGCAATTACTCAAATATGCTATGCAGGTTTTATAGTGAAATCCTGAACCCAGAATTGCACCCAGAAGCCCAATGAGCTTCAAAGTATTCATGGAATAGTGCTGTTATATAGGACTAATGAAAAGATAACCACATATACAGTATCTATAAACAGTCCCTTAAAGAAGCTGTATCTTTTCCCTCAACCTTACAAGTAACAGTTTGTGGCTGTAACGTAATTCCAAAAAGTACTAATAAGTACTACGCAAGCAATTTTTCTATTCAAATCCAAAGGTGCTGTTCCAAACTATTATAAATCAAAAGAGCCCAAAACCTATATAAAGCTAGCAGCAGAAATTAAAAAAAAACAACCAAGTGAAGTGAGATAAATTCCAATTTACTACAACTGCTATGTCACAATAGTTTTTTTGTTGATTCTATTAGCAGATTCAAAAGTGAACAAACTATTTTTGCTACTTAAGGGCAATCTTTATCCATTTAGTATCTTCTGCTTTGACTTGGCAGACTTGCCAGTTGGAGATCCTTTCAAGCTTCCTTAGATAATTTTAAGCAAAATTTAGTACCAGAGTTAGGATTTCAATTTAAAATGGATTTTTAATTACATTTTGTTAAATGACAAATATAATGCAGTGCAATTAGAATTACCTTTCTTAACACTGAGATTCCACTGTGCCCTCTAATAGCTGTCAAAAGAGCTGAACACTCACTCTCTGTTTCCATGAACTTTGACTCTTTCGGGCTTCCACCTACAGTACTGTGTGAAATCTGACACATGACAAAACACATAGATTTATTTTTTCAAACTTAAAATTTAGAAGCATGAGTAATATGAGCATCTGATTATTTTCTGGAAAACTTGCCTAATTTTAGCCTTTATCTGACCTGAATATACTGAGCTATGTATAAAAGCACTTTTGCAAAATTCTAAATACTATAATGATCGAGAAAAAAATTAGATTTGTCAGATCTGTTGGCAGATACTATATGTTATTTTTATAGTATTATATAATACTATAAAACTATAATACTATAGTAATACACACACACACAAATACATACATCATACATACACGCATGTTTTCCCAAAAATAAGACCCAATCTTATTTTCTTTTGGGCCCCGAAATAAACACTGGGAGGTCTTTTTTTCAGGGAGGCCTTTTATTTTTTATTTTTTTTGATGTGCAAGAGTGGGTTCCGATGGAAGTGGGAGCACAGCTATCTCTGGCACCATCCTTTCTGTCCAACTGTCTGCTTGTCTGCGGCCACAACAGACATCTCTCGGCACGCCTCGGCCTCTACCTGCCTGCTTACACACACACACACACGCACAGCAGCAAATGTTAAATATATGAAGCTATTACAGCTTTTCCATAATACCAAACAGCATGTATAGAACTGATGGTAACGTAGTACTGTATCTTGGTAATATGCAATTTTATAGTGTTATAGTACCTAATAGGTCACTGGAAATAATGGTTGTTATAAAAAAAAAGTTATAACTTTGGTAAACAAAAAAAAAACAAAAAAACAAGCAAGTCCACTCCTGATCTTACAGGAAATAAGTGCTTCATCCAAAGCTGTTTTTACCCAATATTTACCTTTTGAAGCTTATCTTTTCCTCCTGCGTTTTGAATGGCTTCCATTAAAGCACTATGTAGTGATGTATCTTTTGGAAGTGGCTTCTGGATGACTGATTTAAACTTCTTCATTGGCCCAAAAATATTGTAGACATTGTCCTCTATTTTATTAGGACAGAGATTACTCTCTGCCTTGCCAAGTTTTTCATCTTTTTCTGAAATTGCTTGGTTCAACATTGCTGTTGATGGTATATTGCTTGAATTCACATGGGAGCTAAATATTGTGGTAGATGAATCAGCATTAGGTTTGCTAAATAAAAAGGGAGAGCTAACCTGATCAGATGGCTTTTTTATTACTACAAAAGTCGTTTCTTCATCTGTTACATCTTGTACTAAATCATGGATGAGTTCCTGTTCTGTAAGGTTGTTTTCGTTAGAGGTTATTATAGTAAATGTCCCACTAATGCTATTAGTAGAGTTTTGTTTTGGTGTCTTGATATTTGATACCTTAGGATCAGCACAAGATGGACTGGTATTTGACACATTTTTACTACAACTGAAGGTAGTTGAATACAGTTCTTTTGCTTTCAGTGGACAGTATTTGGCTGCAAGAATACATCCTTTAGAAAATGGCTCCATTTCAGTTTTCATTCCTTCTGTTTTATTTAGCTCTTCATACTGCTTTCTTTGGATTGTTTCAAACTGTGTTAGATCACTGCAGTTGGCAACAGTTGTGGTTAAATAATCATTTAAATAATCATTCATGAGATCCTCCCTACTGGTCACAGATGCTAAGACACTTTTCCCTGAAAACTGTGTGGCATTACTAGGGACTTTCGTTTCATCTGGTCCAACAATATTTTCAGCACTAGAACCAACTATTGGCCAAGTTCGTGGTTTCAGACTCCTAATACAATCAGGTTCAGTTCCGGACATTTTATTAGGTTGTTTGGAATTAATGGTAATCTCTGCTTCAACAGAATGGTCTAATGGTAATCCTTCAGTTTGGTTTCCCATAGAATGTGACCTCTTATATTCTTTACCTCTGCCAAAAACAGTTACTTTAGAGGTTGCATCTACTGTAATTTTTCTACCACAACCCTCATTTGGTTTCACTAGGTTACCTAACTCATCTATTTTAATGGCACCAGTATAAAGAGACTGATTTTTGTTAAAATCTCTTATTTGGGGTTTGGGAGGAATTACTGTAAAAGTTGTCGGGCTAGTTTTGGAGCGATAGATTTTACATTTACTGTTTCTACGCCATGGACATTGTGTTGGGTCAGATTCTTCCTCAGCAGGATTTTTTGCTGATGCACCTTTCAATTCTAGATAACATTTATTAAGTTCATCACTGATATTTTCATAAATATTTTCTGTAGAAATTTTTTGTGACAAATTCTTAGGTGAATAGGTAGATGTTCCTACACATTCCTTACTGATAGATTCAATATTTTTATTTGTGTTAAAAAATTTAATTAGATCAGTCATTCTAACTGGAATATTTTCGCTAGTTTCTATCTTAGAAAACAATTTTTCTTCTTCTTCTGTATTGGAGTGAGCAATCATATAATTTTCTGGAACTTCATCAATAATTGTCACTGGCACAGGAAATGAAACATCAGAAGGATTCTCAGATTTTTGTAGAAGTGGTCTGGATGCACCATTCTTCTCAAAGACAACCGACTGGCTTTTAGAATCATTGTGTATATTTTCCGTCACTGCAAATATTGTCAACAAATTATTTCAAAAACTATTTAGAATGAAACTGAAACATTTTCCAAAGTTTTATAATCAAAAGTATCTCAAGGAATCCTAAAAGACATTTAATATTTTCTGAGATCAGCAGTTCCCATACTGTAAACTTTCATTTTTTACTACAAAAGTTGTTTTATATACAGTAGAAAAGGTTACTGTTAGAAAAATAAATGAACACAATTTTACAAACATAACTAACAGAACACAACACAATTTTATTTTGCTAAAGTATAAAGAAAGTATGCATTTAGTCAACCATTTGAATGTAATAAAGTGAAGTGTTATCAACACAGCTTATTTCTACAAGGTTATTTCCGGGCAAGACTCCAAAATCAGAGTATATAGTTCTCAAGAAAGCTGTGTGTGTGTGTGTGTGTGTGTGTGTGTGTGTGTGTATAGATCAGTGTGTGTGTATATATGCTTTATGTGTGTGTGTGTATGTACCCTGTTTCTCCAACAATATGGCCTTCCCCAATAGGAAGTACCAGCATGTTTTATAGGCATGAAATGAAATTAAGCCCCCCCCCCCAAATTAAGGCCTATATTACAACATGCGAAATGGGGGGGAATGGTGGGGGGGCTTGCCGTTAGGAAGTACTTTTGTTGCACACCTGGATATGGTGCTGCCTGCGTTGACCCCAATACGAAGTGCCCCACCAACGCCGAGATCAACATCCAAGCCATCACTGCCTGCCTGTCCGAAGATGCAAGTGGGGGGAATTAAGTCACCCCCCGAAAAGACAGCCTAGCCATTTTTTCAGGGCTCAAAAAAAATAAGACCCGGCCTTATTATATGAGAAACACAGTATATGTATGTATAAGTATGTATGCATGTGTGTATATGTGTGTATTTATGTATGTAGATACATATATGTGCATGTAAGTATGTATCTATCTAAATTCAATAATTTACTTTAGCTGAATACCACACAAAAATATACTTTTCTATATTTTTTCCTTGTACAGTAGCACAGTTTGACTTTTTAATGTTATTATGTTTGTTCTGTGATAGAATACTCAGTCTTCCAACAATGTACCTAAATAACACTTTTTTGAAATTTATCCTCTTGCTCTACACCTACAAATATAATAATCAGTGGTATACTGCTACATTTTTAAGAACTGGCTCTGTTGGCTCCATTGCTGGTACTGTGCCTAGCCCTTAGCCATGGAACAATTGATTGGCATGTTAGGCATTAAGGTTCACCTTTGTTCTCAAATTCCCAGAAATTTAACTAACAATTCTCACAAGCTGGAGTTCATCACATCATTAGGTTCAGCACATCATTGAATGTAGCTATAGTAAAAAACTTATGGCTAAAAAGAGAAAAATAAGCCTAATCATGGAAGTGGAACAGTTTCATTGGTATAATATTCAATAAAGCTACTAAATTATGATAGGCAATTGTATTACCATTACTACTTTCTCCAATTTGGAGATTTAAAGAAATCTTTTAAACCTTTTTAGTACATTTTCTGCCACTATTTCCTCTTCCTTTCTATTATGTTTGCAGATCAACTTCCACCTACCTGCTAGGCTTTTGTCTAGTGCATGTTGAACCTTTTGCACCCCAGCAACCATAAACATATCAGTATTCTCAATTTTGGCTTCCATCATTCTGCCATCAGCCCTATATTATGAAGACAACGGGTTAATTGCTGATTTCTAGCAGGCTAATCATATTAATACAATAATTTGCGTGAAGCAGTGACTTTATGTTGGGCCAAGAAGCAAGAGACATTATTGGTGATGCTTGCTGGATAATTGAGAAAGTTAGAGTATGCCAAAAGAAGTCAATATGCATTACACTGATTATAGAAGGCCTTCAATTATTTCAACCATGTCAAATTATGAAATGACCCCAGGAAAATAAGAATCCAGAACATTTCACTGACCTCATACAAATCCTATATATACAGAAGAGGATGCCACAACCTGGAGTGGCTCCAGATTGGCAGGACTGAAGTAAGGATGTATACAGTCTCCTAATTACTCAGACTATGCGCTGAATATATATGAAGGGAGGATCGATGAAAGAAGTATGTGGTTTTAAAACTGGAGGAAAAACATTGATGACCTGAGCTATACTTATGACACTATTCTAACAGCTGAGAATGTAAATGATCTACAAGCTCTTGTAAAGTAAGTCAAAGAACACAGTAAGAAATGGAATTAAAAATCAAAACAGTAGTAGATATAGTAACCAGCATTAAAACTGTCAATGAAAAGTACTGAAATGTTGGAAAGCCTCAGCCGTATAGGTTCAACTATAGGTTCAGTAAAGGAATCAGCAATCAACTTGATAATGTAGCAATGAAAGCATTGGAAGACACGCCATATCTATACCTCTAAAGATCAGAATCATGTAGGCAATAATTTTCCCTGTAACATTTTTTGAAAGTGAAAACTGGACTCTGCAGAAACAAAGAATAGGATAGAAAGAATAGTGATCTTTTCAGTGTTGGAGAAAACTCTTTGAGAATACCATGGATATCCAAGAAAACAGGCAGACCATCAAACGAATCAATTCAGAGCTTTCATAAAAGGTACAAATGACCAGACTCAAATTAACATATTACATATACATTATGAGAAGACTTTGCTCTGTAATGTAGGCTACAATTCTAGGAAAAATGGAAGAAAAGAGAAGAGAACAACAAGATGCAAGGTGCATGATCTCAATTACAGTAATGATACATATGCCATTGGTAGGCCTAAAGGTTGGGGATATACCATGCTGGAGGAAGTCTATTATGTGGTGACTAAGATTCAACACTGACTTGATGGCTTATATTTTTAATTAAATCTCACAGAATCAAATTGCTTTAGAATTACATGCAACAATAATAAAACATTAAAACAATAAAATTGTATTTCCCCTTGATAACAGAAAATAGAGTGGATTAGAACTATTTGCCCCAACTCAAGAAAGTAAAACAATGAGTCCTGAATTCCTCCAATTTGTATAGGGTTGTAGCATAGTCTAGGTTGGAGCACAAAGAGCTCCATTATTAATTGCTATTATCATTTACTAAGTGAGACAGTGGAGAGGAATCAGAGGATGAGACCCAGAGCTTGGGTTTCTTATTTGGATCAGGAACTCAACAAAGGGAGTAGAACACAAAGCAAAATTCTGCAAGTCTACTCTCTAAGACAGATCAAAAGCCAGCCAAAGAGCTGTGTCGCTGGAAAAGATAGTCTTCAGTTCTTTTTTTAGATCTTAGATTTTTGCCTTGTTTCTCTCTTGTTGCCCGCTTCTTTTGATTTGGTGCCTGATTAACAGTCCATAGTTCTCAATCCTTGATTTACTTTTTTATCACAAATAAGAGTCTATTTTCAAAAATAAATAAAGAACTAGCTGCAGTAAAGTCTGGGTATGGTTAATTGTGGGTATGGTAAATGTTTAGGCCTTGACAAAATTTATAAACTACTTGTTTCCTTGCAGCCAACTATGCCAAAATAACAAACTTGCATGTCACCTGAAAAATGTAACTTACCTTTGTTTAACATTCTCAGATTTGTCATTTTTAAAGGAAGCATTATATTCTTTTGCAGCCAACACAGAATCTCTTTCAGTCAAGGTCTTCTCTACATCAATGGATTTGTCTCTTGAATTTATAACATCATTTTGAAAAGCCAATGGTACAATAACAGGGGGTAAATTAATAACCTTTGAATCATATATATTCCGTTCTGGCATAGAACAACAGCTAAAAGATTTGGTTTCTTCTACAGTGTCTTCTTTATAAGTATGTAAAAGTTGGACATTTCCTAAAGAAAACACAGGAAAAAAGTGAACAACTAAGTTTTCATTGTTGGCATCATATTGCATAATTCATTATTGTCCTCAAGTCCTTCCTTCACCATGAAAACCAGTTGGGTGATCTTGGGCCATTCTCCCTTAGTCCAATTCACCTCACAACAACCTCACCTATTGTTGTGGAGAAAATAGGAGGAGGGAGGTGTCTTGGATATGTTTACTGCCTTGAATTATTTGTTAGATAGATAGATAGATAGATAGATAGATAGATAGATAGATAGATAGATAGATAGATAGATAGACAGACATGTAAGTAATGTTTTCCCGAAAATATGACCTACTCAGAAAGTAAGTCCTAGCTTGATTTTTACACGTGCCTAATAAAAACCCTACCTCCAAAATAACCCCTAATTAAGAACCCGCCACTCCAGTGTGCATGGGTAATGAAGCTAGGGTGAGGATGAGGGGGCTGGAACTGCCCTACTACTTAACTTCGGATAGTTGCAGCCAGGCCTTGCACACCTTGGCTCATTTCTTCTTCAGCAAGCAAGGCTTTCCTGAAGGCCTCTATGGCAAATAACAGAGCTTCAGATCAATCCAGAGCTCTGTTATCGGCTGTAAAGACCTTTGAAGCCTTGCTGGCTGCAGAAGAAATGGGCCGAGGTGTGCAAGGCCTGGCTGCAACTATCAGAAGTTCCTGAAGCCTCTGACAGTGAAAAGGAGGTCAGGGCAAGGCACACAAGTGATGTGTGTCAATGGACAACATCCCCCTCAAAATAAAACCTGGTGCCTTTTTTGGTGGCAAAAAATTTAAGACAGGGTCTTATTTTGGGGAAAATATGGGTAGTATATAAATAAATAATAAATAAATGTCCATTTGTTACTTTTTGTCTTGCCCTCATGTGCTTTGGAGAATAGGTTGATCCTTTCTTCTTTGTAACAACCCCTCATATATTGAAAGTCTGCTATTATGTCTTCCCTATTTTTTCTCTTCATTAGTCCAGACATAACCTGTTCCAACCGTTCATCATATATTTTAGCCTCTAATAATCCTCTAATAATCTTTGTTGCTCTTCTCTTCACTCTTTCTAGAATCTCAATGTTTTTGGTATTGCAGAAACCAAAATTGGATGAAGTATTCAAGTGTGGTATTACTAAACAGAACACAGTGATACTAATACCTCACTTGATCAGACTACTAGTTTTTTTATTTTCTATTTAAAAATATTTAATTAAATTACATTTTAAAAAACAATGCATTTCGAAAACAACACAGGGCAAGAAATTCTGCGGCAAATTACTGATGAATCTATAACTGTGGCCTAGAACGTCAGCTCTTGTAGAGATCATAATGATGATAGCAATGATGGTGATTAGCCAAATCAATCTACTTCATAATAAAGACATTTTTATTGATAGTTGTGGGCTGTAATACATGCCACAATAGTCTGGTGCAATTTGGCAGACAAGTTGTTGATTTTCCAGTCTAAGGCTGACAGAATGTGGCCCCCAGACAGACAGCCAACTAGTTCTCATATCTAAGAAATAGCATCTTAACCATGCCATTTTAGTGCTCATGTATATTAATTAATAAAAAAGATTCTAAAATTTTGAAAGCTAATTGCATTTCTATTACTGAATGCCAAAGATTGAGGAGAAACTATAACCACAGAAAAGCAATTCAGAAGTTTCCTTCCTTCCCTTTTCGTTCCTTCTTCTTTGAGAAGGCCCACAGTTATATAGAAATCCATCAAGAGTTGTCAAGATGAATAGTTTACAGTAACAACATATTACTCAAAGTGGTTGCAGCTACCATAATTCCTCCTCTATTCAGTAATTTTGAAAAGCAATCCAAAAGGTATACTAGTTAAATCCAGATGAAATCACCTTCACTATAGTATGTTATTCAGACATTTATTATAACACCCAGTTCATCTTCCAATGCACAATTTTTAATTACAGTGCTATCTTTTAAAACCTATCCTCTGTTCTAAAAGCATGAGTCACTAATATACTACCAAGGCTAAGAAATAAGAAATGACTTATTTGAGAATTTCAGAGTAACAAAAAAACTTACCTTACCTCGTGCCTTCCGTCCCTGTCCTATTGCCCCCAATTATTAGTACCTATTTCATGGATTTATACTTATGTTTATTCTTATTTCTATTATATTGCAAGCATTTGACAAATAAAATAAATAAATAAATAAAATAAAGTAAAAGAAATGGTCTGGTATTCCTTGTTTTACATTTGGAAATCAAAATCCAAAACTTTCCTCTTTTTCTCTGGGAAGGACATGCCATATTAAGGATTGATTCTGAATCAAGATTCTAAAGCAAGCAAGCTTGAAAGCGATATTCAAATAAGGTGATTTGTATTTTCATACATTCCAAAAGGATTTGTCAATAAAGCTCCAAACATACAATACCTGGAAAATATTTCTTATTATACCTAAGGAGTCTTAGATGTAAACATTTTCCTACTGAAAAGCCTTTTTGCTGTCCTTAAAGTGACATGAACATGTCTACATATGAAAAACATTAGTTTCTCAGAATGTAATGGCTTTTTTTTTTTTTTTTTTACAAAATATGTATGTCTCTAGAAATAATACTTTTATTTTTACTGCAGAAATGGGTATAGTCTTATCAAATAGTAACATGACATGACTTTACAAATACACACACACAATCTAACTTTGAATTTTTATCTTTTTTATGTAGATCACATTTTTAATCTCTTCTTCTAGTTAAAGCAGTGGTTCCCAAAGTGGGTAGTACCGCTCCCTGGGGGGTGGTGGGATGCCTTGGGGGGTGCTAAGAGGCAAGGGGGGCAGCAGGGGGTGCTAAGAGGCGGCAGGGGGGCATTCGAGGCACCGGCCCTGCAGGCCCACCCCATTGACTATTTCACCGCTCGAATGCAGAACCTGCACGCGGCGCCTCGAATGTGGAACCATGCATGGCGAGCCTTGCCAAGCCTGGGGAGGGAGGGGGGAGGTGGCGGAAAGGGGGCACCTTAGCTTGCAGGCTGCCCTCTCCGGTGGAAGCAGCGGAGGTGCACCAGAAGGCCCGAAAGCAAAACCCTCCCAAGGCATGCAGTGGAAGAGGTGGGTGGTCTGGCATTAGGGCTCCCCTCCCCGGAAAACAAGGGAACACACAGCACCTCTGCCTCTCCAGCCAGCTGGGCTTGCGCACAGGATGCGGGTGGGTGCAACTGCAGCTCTCCAAGGCACGTGGATTGGTTCATTTTGGCTCTACGTGGCCAGGCCAGACCTAGAACCTAGCCTACCTCTGAAGCCCAGTTCTTCCGGCCGAGCCCTGCACTTGCTTGTTTGCTTACTTTCCAAGCGATCGTTCCCTCCGCCTCTGCCAGTCTGGACTGCTTCCACATGCCTTCCTCCTCCCGGGCAGAGCGTAAAGATGGGCGGAACACTTCCCCAAAGTTTATTTATTTATTTATTTATTTATTTATTTATTTATTTATTTGATTTGCCAATTGTTTACAAGATAATAAGTATAAGTGTATACATAGTTGTGAATACATGAAATGGGTACATATAAGAAAAATAAAAGAAGAATAAGAGAAACAATAGGACAGGGATGGTAGGCACGTTGGTGCGCTTATGCACGCCCCCTACAGACCTCTTAGGAAAGGGGTAGTAGACAGTCTCAGGTTAAAGTTTTTGGGGTTTGGGGAAGAAACTACAGAGTCGGGTAGAGTATTCCAGACATTGACCACTCTATTGCTGAAGTCGTATTTCCTGCAATCAAGTTTGGTGCGGTTAACTTTGAGTTTGTATCTATTGTGTGCTCTTGTGTTGTTATGGTTGAAGCTGAAGTATTCATTGACAGGTAGGACATTGCAATGTATGATTTTATATACCATGCTTAAATCAGACCGAAGACGGCGTAATTCAAGGTTTTCTAGTTCTAGAATTTCAAGTCTGGTGGCATAAGGTATTCTACAACGAGTAGAGGAGTGGAGAACTCTTCTTGTGAAATATTTCTGGACTTTCTCAATTGTGCTAATATCAGATACGTAATGTGGGTTCCAGACTGATGAATTGTATTCGAGTATTGGTCTAGCAAATGTTTTGTATGCTCTGGTTAGTAGTGTGATATTACCAGAGAAAAAGCTACGTAGGATTAGGTTAACAACTCTTAATGCCTTTTTGGCTATGTAGTTGCAGTGGGCTCTAGCACTTAGATCATTAGAGGTGAGTATTCCAAGGTCCTTTACAGAGCTTGGGTCATCAACAAGATCTTGACTATTCAGCTTGTATTTTATTTTCTAATTTTTTTTGCCAATATGTAAGACAGAGCATTTATTTGTTGAGATTTGAAGTTGCCATTTGTTTGACCACTCTGATACATAGTCAAGATCTTTTTGTAGGGTAGCAGTATTGTCTGTGGTATTGAACAGCTTTACATCATCAGCGAAGAGAACGCAATTGCTCTTAATATGATCACAGAGGTCATTTATGTAGAGTATGAAGAGAGTTGGTCCTAGAACACTGCCTTGGGGGACACCACTATTGACAGGTACAGAATTTGATAGGACGCTCCCAATTTTGACCATTTGTTGTCTGTTTGCCAGGAATGCTTCTATCCAGTTATTCAGTTGTCCAGAGATACCATAGGATTTTATTTTTAGGAGTAGTTTGTCGTGTACCACTGAATCAAAGGCTTTACAGAAGTCTATGTAGATTGCGTCTATTGCTTTGCCCTGGTCGAGTTGTGTCGTCCATATGTTTTTGCAATGTAAGAGTTGCAGATTACAGGATAGTTTTTTTCTGAAACCAAATTGTTTATTGGAGAGTAGGTTGTTTGTCTCTAAGTGGAGGATGATGGATTGGTTAATAATTGATTCCATGACTTTACAGGTGACGCAGCATAAGGAGATTGGTCTGTAATTTTCAACTAGGCTTGGGTCTCCCTTTTTGAAGATGGGGATGACTGTGGCTTGTGACCATAGGTTAGGCAAGGAGCTGGTCCTGAAAGATTTTTCAAAGATT